CACCGCTGAGCCAATGGGATTTCGCGTGCCTCGTCGATTTCTTGGAGAGTTTAAGTAAAATGTCCGTGTCTCTTAACAGATGCCCTAGGCTACTCCGGAGTAGGTTTCTCCCGCGCCAAATTCGGGCAAAGTTCAGCGCCGCCGATTGGCACGGTTGGCTACGTACGGTGTGAAAGAAGTTCAACGTACGTATGCACAGCGGGTCCGTTGAGGCTGAGAGCGAGGAGGATACAAGCTGAGCGGTGCATGGCAGAGCCGTGCACATTCGTGCAAACGAAGCTCGCCTCGTGCACAGATTAAGGGTCTGGCACTGTGTAAACACCCTCACAAGAATGAACACACGGAGAACTTGGCATCTGCTGTGTTACACTTTGACCTTCAAGCAGGTTCTACTGGATGACAATAAATTCGCTCATTGTCTCCACATGTAAGTAAATGTGTATTTTAACAAATCGACCCAAGTGGCTTTTTAAACCAATACGATCAATCAGCAACTGTCTAAGCGAGCAAAGTCTGGGACCGATTTTGACCTTCTGTGCCTCGTCGCCAGGCAGGCTACGCTACGAAGCCGGCGACCCGAGTTCTATTCCGGCTCACGGCCACCAACACCAAGTGACGGTTACCTGAATCCTGGTGCGGTGTGTAAACATCGCCACTGGGGAGACAAAGGCGGCCGGGCGTGGTGCTCGCCATCCTCCTCTTTGCACATCGTAGCGGCCAAAAGTCTGTTCAGGCTACGCGTGGGGATCTTTATCCTTGGATTTATGTCAGCCTTTATCCCTCCACAGCTCAAACTGAAGTAGACCTTGTAACCAGAATGAGCACACGTATCGGCGCAGTGAGGTATAATCATCATACCTGTTAAGGATCCTCAACTCTCACCAGGAGACTTGTAAATGGGAACACTTGCCTCCTACCAGGCATGCAAATCTAGATATTTTTTTCTGGTTCTCATGAACAGCGCTAAATATATGCTGTATATATATATTCACGCACGCGTCTATATATTAAGTGAAAATACACCGTCGGCGAACAAAAGGCACCTTATTCCACATGTAAGAGTGAAGCTGAATTCATGTTTCGGCATATCGCTAATTAATCTCGCGAGCAAAGGCACAGACCTGCGCGGCAGCCTGGATGGGAAATTGCATCAGCAACGCGGCGATAGAGGCAAATCTGAAGGCGTTAAACCGACGCTTAATTTCTCGCGGAATTATTTTGGTGGGGAGGCCCCTCAGCTTGACACCACAGTAGCGTTGAGGCAAGGGTGGGGGGGTGGGTGGGTGGGGGGGGCGGATCTATTTTCCAGAGCTCAGCCCCGGACAGCTCCGGTCGAAATTAAACTACGATTTTAACCACTGACGATACTGCGGGCGTGGAATAAGACATTTCAGTCAGAAGCACTTCTCTCACCCAGCGCGTCCAAACTTGCAATCTCAAGGTCGCGAGATTCTGTTCATCGTCATTCCTCTGGGGTGACTAAAATGACAAATCATTATGTTGGAGAAAGGTGAGTTGACTGTCCAGTGATTCGCCATGCCCTTGCCATACGAATGTGGAATGGTCAGCAGTGGCTCGGGCCTGCGAGCGGAAGATGCGCGTGTCTCACCTGATTTGTCTGAAGAGGACATTTGACTTTGACGGCGCCATGCAGTCCGTAATACCGAGGCGTCGCGAAGAGCTTTTGCTTGTTGTTGTTTTTATCTTAATGGATACATTCGGGAAGCCCTGATGATAAACGGTGCTTGAATTACAAGGGAGCCCGGGTCGTGGGACGATCATTAGTGGGAAGAGACGCGGCCCGGGCTCCCACCACCACCACCACCACTAAAATCATCATCATCATCGCAGTCATCATAACAAGTGGTGGTTTGTGGCCTATACTCAAGTGAGTACTTTGACTGAAAAACTGACTAACACAGGGAGAAATTGCAGTGTGAATATTAATTATAATAGTTAGAGCACCGCAGTCGTGTCACGGTTTGCAGGATGAACGGGCACACCACAGTTAGTCCGTCGACAGGTCACGTGTGGTGGGTTAAAGCGTGGAAACTCACGCGTCTCCCGAGGTATCTGACCAGTGTGGAAGAGTAGGCCAAATCACCCTCTAGAGGGGCTTTCTAGAGTGTCCTCTAGTGGAGGTTCATCCGCCAACAGTGGTGTGAGCAAGCAATTGTAGGGTTGCACCTTTACCTTGTTTTACTTTTCATATACACACACACATTTATATATACATATAAGAAAAGTGAATTACTCTCAGGCATCAAGTTAGCACGTGGAGTTACGTATCGACTGTTCCACCCACATGCAGGTCAAAGATCGACCCCCCATCATTTTATTGATGGGCAGGTCACGAGAGGGGTGACACGCGGGGGTTTTGCACGGTGACATTTCACGAGCAAGGCTTAGTCACGAAGAGAGAGGCTGTGGTGGCGCCCAACTCGAAGAGGGTATCCCCAGAACGCCTCCTCGTAGGAGCGCTTCCAACAGGAACTGCGGCAGAGAGAGCAATGCAATCGGGGGGCTACGCCTTTAACCCTTCGAGTGATGCGGTTCCCAAATTGTACTCTTAGGTTTTTTTCGGTAAAGTCACCTAGGTAAAAAATAAAATTGAGTTTGTTTAGCCGGGCGAGAAATCAAGATGGCAGGGATGGGTGTCGTTTTTTGCGAGAGTGACCGAGCTGGGTCACCGAAATGACAACTATCAATCGAGTACAGCAATGAAGCAAAGTAGAAAGGAGAGAAAAAAAACACACAACAACTGCTTTGCGGGAGAAATGCAAAATAATCCACGAACATAAATCAATTTTAAAACAACAACAAAAATCCCTGCAACAAAAGTTTGGCTCCCACAAAATTACATTTCAAACTTGAAAAATACCATCGCCTGCTTCTGTACCATCTCTCCATGTTGCTTATGAGGCAATCCAGACCAGATCGATAATGTGAAAGAGTCTGTTGCCAGCCGGAGTTCGATGGAACTTTCCGATTGTGGACAACGCACGTGGCACAGGGCAACCATCCATCGGCACGCGTCACTCACAGGATACGCCACAAGATTTTGCAAAGCAATCAACTTTGCATATTTTCCCACGTGACAACTGGATATGATTGTTCATGATATAAAATGTGTTTTGGGTGAAAGGTTGCTTAAATGTACGCATGTACGTTGACCTTCTTTCGCACCGTACATATCCAACCGCGCTAATCGGAGGTGCGTGGGGGGCAGGGGAAGGACAACAAACTAAACACAAAAAGCTGTTCTGAAGAAATGCGTTTTCCATTTAGATGTAAAAGTGCACAGCTCCAATGATTCCCTAAACATCTCAATGTCTCGTAGGAACCCACCTCCACCCGACACAGCCAATTAGTAATGTTAGTGACGTGAACAGAACGTGCCAATGAGTTATTGTTTCAGCACCCCGGGGTATTGGACAGCTCACTCCCGGTGTAGTGGATTTACTCTCCATCACACCGGTGGTGCTGAAGTAGTAATACATTTGCTCGTTTTGTTCACGTGACAAAACTCTCACTAATTGGCTCCTGTCGGGTGGTTAAGGGTTTCAGTAAAAAAAATCTGAATCATATCGACATGACGATCCAACCCAAAAGATTATCTTCATGATAGCCTCCGCATGTAACTATCAGAGTTGTGTTGTGTTGGACCGCACGTGACGCACTCCACTCCAGACGTTTCAAGTCTCTTTTGTTCAACCAGCTGAGAGCTCAAGTGACAAGCATGAGCCCCATGGGCAAGATTGACCGCGGGAGAGGCGGGTCTAAAAGCTGCCCAGATGAGGCGAGAAAGGGAGGCAGTCCTGAAATTCCAGGCTTTTAAAATCGGACCCCATATCGATAATAATACATATTTAATGTTTTTTGTCTGCTAAATATTGCCTACCATTCTCCTGCTCCTCGGATACTTCACTTGACCTACATCACCAAGATTGCAAAAAGTCAATAGCGTGAAAACTAGTAGGCCGACAGTGATTAAGAAAATAGAAATCAGAGGAGCAGGAGAATGTGGCTGATGGAAAATACCGGTTGGAGGGACAGACATGTGAAGGAGGAACATTGTCTGACTGTCTAAATGTGCAAATCAGCGCTGCATTGCGAATTAAGTGCTCAGTAAGTGCATAATACTTGCTACGACACGTGCTTCAGAAAGAGCGAGGTCAATGATGAATCATACAAAACTCACAAGTGAAAAGTGGACCGGGTGAGCGTGGCGAAAAAACGGGCTTAAGCGCGAGGAACACGTGGATGAGAGAACGCACACACACACACAGGTTCATGGCATCATCCGCACCGTTAAGAAAAGCGAGTGGGTGCTTGGGAAGGACGGCGTGGGATGCGTGACGGGGCAAGGACAATAACGGAGTGGCAGCCACGGAATGAAGCACGCCCAAGAGGATATGATCCGCACTTCGCGTCTGATTGTCTGCTAACAGTTCCCCAGATTTCGCACGCAATTTGGATCGAGGGAATTGAACGTGGCTGCCCCAAAAGGTTTTGGAACCACCTCAGTTTTATCTCCTGGCATCTCCATTCTTACCATCTCTGTCCTCATTTAAACGGACTCTATTAGATATAATAAAAAAATCGCTTTGTTTTGCGTGTGAGTGTAACTTTGCAACGGAATTTCTGCTATTTTCATTTATTTATTTATTATTCAATCTGCAAAATTGTCGAATGCTTTGATGTTTTCTGCCGGCCGAGTGGGCCTTGAAGAAGGAGCTTCTCGGCTCAACGGGCTGCACTCGATGGGGAAGGGAACTTCTGAACTTGCGAATCGGGGAGATGGAGTGACGAAGCCGGTGAAAATTCAACTAAATAAAAAAAAATCCTATTTCACCAGCCGAGGCCCGTGCGCACGTGCTTGCTCGTTGTAAAAGTGCGCGGCCGGCTGACGAGAGAGGAGGCGAAGGCGGCTTGGTAAGAGGCATTCCCCCCCCCCCCCCCCCGCGTGGGTCGGTGATGGCCGACGTTCGACGACTCACCGGTGAAGTTGACCCTGCGGATGTAGTTGAGCAGCTCGCGCCCGTTGACGGGGTCCATGCGTGGGCACAGCCCCACGTACTCGGGGCACAGATCCAGGTGCATGCTGTGCAGTGCGTGCGCCATCGAGTACACCGCGTCGATCACGAACTGCACCTTGCCCTCCTGCTCGTACGTCGCGTTCACGCCAATCCGCTCCTCGCCTGCGCACACGTGACGCGTCGCACACACGCGCGGGCAGACGGCACCGGCGTCACGCGGTGATGGCGTGGCAAGGCGGGTGATGTTGGCGCGGCGACGTGGAGTTGATATCGCTGGCAGCTCATGGGGTTGGTGGGGCGGTGGTGCCCCAAGGGAGACGCAGAGCCAAAACGGCTCTGCGTCTCTTAAACACGACGAAACTAAACTCTGTTTTATTTGACCGCATAAGGCTTGCTGAGCTATGTAGTGCTTTTTAACAAGCGGCCAGGCCACAAATGATAGCTCAATGAAGTAGCTTATCACGTGGACATTTATAGCAACCAAATACTCCAAGCGCGTGATTGTAAATGTGGAGGGAAAAACGGGAGGAGTAGGACAACAATCTGCGCAGCAATGGGGAAAGAGACACGCAAACTCCAAATATAAAGGCGTCAGGGTCGGGATCGAACCCACGACCTCCTGTATACCGGGCGAGGTAGTCAACATCTTGTCCCGTGGCGAGATGTGATCCCCCATTCCGCGGCTCACAGATGACCGCCACCTCCGATCAACACGGCTGGCTCACGTACGGTGCGAAATGAGTTCAACATACGTCCATATATTTCGATTTAAAGCTTTCGTGACTGCAGGGATTCATCTTCTGGGTTCTTTCGGTAAAGTCACGTAGAAGGGAAATAATAAAATAATAAAAATAAAACATTATAAAATTATTCTCACGACGTTTCGGCCACAATGCAAGCAGCCGTCCTTTCAGACACTGTCTTTCCGACAGACCTGTTCTTCACCTGAGGACGGCTGCTTGCTGTTGTGGCCGAAACGTCGTGAGAATTGTATTTTATTATGTTTTATTTTTATTATTTTATTATTTCCCTTCTACGTGACTTTACCGAAAGAACCAGGAAGATACGTCCAAATGTCTTAGCAGCCAGTGCGCGGTGATTAAACAACGATGTTCTGGACGACACATCGGCGCATTTATTTTCCGAAAGCACTTATCACGGTGTGGCTATTTATTTGAATTCGTTCCTTTCTTTCTCTCGTGAAAAGCAAAGCAGACGTAAAAGACACATCCATTTCACTTTGCCTTATTTCTCTTTGTATATGAAATCTCCTCGTGTGTTACAATTTAAGATTTGCCATCTCGCGTTTCCTGGCAATGTTATTTCGGAAAAAGAGAGGAAAAAACGTGGCAATGGCCTTTTTGCAAGGGAATCGATGTACCAGAGAGTGGATATTTTTTTTCCACCATTGCCGCTGACAAATAGCAACGGATATCTGTTGTGTTCAGCAATATGCTCCACACACTCGAGAATATTGATTCATTCGACACCTAATGCGACAAATGTGCTCCACACACACGCATGCACGCCACACACATGTGTGTATGAACACACGCACACACACGTGCACACGTGTGTGTGTGTGTTCATACACACATGTGTGTATGAAAACACACACACGCACACACGTGTGTGTATCAACACACGTGTAAGAATGGATATCCCCCTCCCCGCCTCCGCACAGCCTTCTTGGCTGCTGCGGCAAGATCTGTCAGCGAGCAGCTATTGAGTGGCATACGGCCCACGCAGCGCTGGTACGGCAAAGCACCACCACCGGCCACGTTTATCTCCCCCGAGTGCTGGCGTTTTACACACCGCACCATCAACACCGCGCCACCAACAACCACCACCAACACCGGACCACCACTACCAGCACCAACACCCACTACCAAAAACCACCACCAACACCGCACCACCACTACCAACACCACACCACCACCAACACCGCACCACCAACACCAACACCCACCATTAACACCGCACCATCACTACCACCACCACTACCCACCACTAACACCGCACCACCACTACCACCACCAACACCCACCACTAACACCGCACCACCACTACCACCACCAACACCCACCACTAACACCGCACCACCAACACCAACACCCACCACTAACACCACACCACCATAACCACCCACCCACCACCACCACCAACACCGCACCACCACCACCAACACCCACCACTAACACCGCACCAACAACACCCACTACCAACACCGCACCACCAGCGCCGCACCACCACCAACATCTAGCACCAACACTGCACCACCACCACCACCAACACCCACCACCAACACCCAGCACCAACACTGCACCACCACCACCACCAACACCCACTACCAACACCGCACCACTACCACCACTACCACCACCAACACCGCACCACCAACACCAACACCCACCACCACCACCAACACCCACCACCACCACCAACACCAACACCCACCACTAACACCGCACAACCAACACCCACTACCAACACTGCACCACCACCACCAACACCCACCACCAACACCACACCACCATCACCAACACCGCACCGCCACCAGCTACGAAGCGGATGACGCACGGCTCTACGTTGACACGGCGATCATCGCCGCCTTCAGGCGAGTGCTAATGAGCCCCCTATTCGATCGCAAACAGGTAACGGCCCGCTCCGTATACACGGGGCAGGTGGCGGCGGTGAACATCGGTGGCTCCGATTTAAAGCTTTCGTGACAGCAGTGATTCATCTTCTTGGTTCTTTCGGTAAAGTCACCACGTAGAATGGAAATAATAAAATAATAAAAATAAAACATAATAAGATAATTCTCACGACGTTTCGGCCACAATGCAAGCAGCCGTCCTCAGGTGGAGAGCAGGTCTGTCGAGTAGACTACTCAACACCCACTACCAACACTAGTCTACTCGACAGACCTGCTCTCCACCTGAGGACGGCTGCTTGCGTTGTGGCCGAAACGTCGTGAGAACTATTTTATCATGTTTTATTTTTATTATTTCATTATTTCCATTCTACGTGACTTTACCGAAAGAACCAAGAAGATCGGTGGCTCCATTGCTGACGAGTCCCAAATGAGAACGAAACCCGTCGGCGGCCGCGTCTCTCCGCCGCCGCCTGCTTTGCGATGAGCCGCATTTTGGCAGCTCGCCGAGCCGCACGTTCAGTTCTTTTGAGCCGGTGATCTAGACAAGGCCGAGAGCTTCTGAACGTTGCTGCTCCACGTTGATAAATCTAGCGGCACGGCAGCTCTTGCTGGCGTTGCCACCTTTCACCACTGCAGACCTAAACCCGGACACGTGTCTCACTCACGCTAGATGTATTACTAAAGCTGTGCAGTGTCCTCCAATGAAGTTCACCACGACGATGCCGGGATCGGATCTCGGTCCAGGTCGAGTCCTGCCACCCGGACACAGATGCCAATTCCCGGATTGGGACCAAGCCACACCTGGACAGGTGGAAACTATAATCTCATGCACCTTCGCAAATGCGTTTCACTTGATTTTTTGGGCATGGAAGGTGCCAGAAATGATAATCGTGAACTTGTCAGTAAATAACTGACAGTAGGTTCTTGTTGAGCTCGTTAAGCGAAAACGCATTAAGCGAAAACAAGATCTCCATAAATGATGTAACGATAAAGTTTGGCAAGATGCAATGTATTACCGCAACTACGCACACGCAGTGAGATGGCGGGACACGTAACTGAGGGTACGTTTCCGCGTTACTGTATCACTCTGCGTTACTGTATCTGTCCGTGTACTGTATCACACCACTCAGCCGGTGCAGCTCATGAAAGTAGTTCTTCGTTGACTGCTCAGAAACCGCGTTATAACAGTAGACGTCCCACGTTATAACGGTGAACGTTCCGCGCGAAAAGTAGTTCCCTCCTGGAAGAACGGCGTTACAGCGAAACCGCGTTGTAGTGTGAACACATCCGCCGCGCGCTAAGCGAGGACACAGCGTGGATGCACCTCGGCATCTCCTAGTTCAGGGGTCGGGAACCTTTTTTGACTGGGAGAGCCATAAAAGCCAAATATTTCTAAATATATTTCATTGAGAGCCATATAGTATTTTTAACGTGTAATAAATTAAATATGTCTTACTTTTAATGCGACTTCTGGTCCTGCATGGTTTTGCTGATGGCCTTGTAGTCTGGTTCATACGTGGTGAGGTTGAGCTTCATGCAGGCGTGACCCGTGAAATGTATCTTCAAAACTAATTTCTGTTTACTTTAAAATGACACAGTACTATTAAGCAATATCACAAGTATTTTAAAATCAGTTCCAAACTGATTTTTTTTTTCAACTCAAAAATTGTCTGGGAGCCATATGCCGTCACCGGAAGAGCCATATATGGCTCTGGAGCCATAGGTTCCCGACGCTGTACCTAGTTCCATCTCGACCCCCACCCCGGCACTGCCCGCCCCCCCCTCTCACTCCACCACCGCGGGGTTTCAGTGCCCCACCGCCTGCCGATGCTCTGCTCAGCCACGTGTCTAACCTTCTTCGTCTTTAGAAGCTTCACTAATTGCCGACGTATTTGCACTCCATGGTCCCAGCGGATGTTTAGGAGGCTTTAGATTTTTTTTTTTCAAATGCTAATTATAACAGTTGTTCAAGGCCCTCTGTCAATGGCGTTAAACACCACACACACACACACCTCAATAACAATTCAAAAAATATTATTAACGTATTATCATTATTGTTGTTGTTACGATTGTTTACCCAGGAAAGGCTCACGGATTATTCAAGAGGCTCATCTAGGTGTCCTCACTAGGCGGTGAGGCATTGCTCTGTTCATTCGAATCGAGTAATTTGCGGGTATTTTTGTGTTAAATTTGCCAAAATGTACAGTTATAAAGTTACAATTTCGTGGGTTTACTCTCCAACACATTGGTGTGCTGAAGAATCAACTAATTGGCGAGTTTTGTTTACGTGAAAAGCCCTAACTAATTGGCTGTGTTGGGTGGTGGCGGGTTTAACGCCACATTATATTTACGCGATCTAACAAAAAACACATAGTCTATTATGGATCCCTCTCAGTACAGAAGGTTGTTTGATGTCCGTAGTGAGAGATACAATGACCCAGCAGCCATAGACACTTTAAAACGTGGACCGACGATCTGATGCTAATGTGCATTTGATTAAGATAAAATAAAACTTGCGTTGCAATGCACATTATGAACGCTCACAAAAATATCCTCATCCATATTCATGATTCGGGGGTGGAACAGTTTATTGATTGATATCAATGCTTAAGTTCGTGATACTGTGCACGCATCTAGTCACTTGAGAAGTTGGAATTGATGTTTTTTCCGAACCGTGTGTTCCTACTGTAGGTTGCGTGGTAATGTGTTAGCGTGGTGCCAGCAGCTGCCAGAGGACGCTACAGTCATGTTCAGACGGAATCGATTTTTTCAACGAATTGTGACTTTTACACTCCTCGATTTAAAGCTTTCGTGACTGCAGCGATTTAAAGCTTTCGTGACTGCATGGATTCATCTTCTTCATTCAGACTCTGTCTACTCGACAGACCTGCTCTCCACCTGAGGACGGCTGCTTGCGTTGTGGCCGGAAACGTCGTGAGAATTATTTTATTATGTTTTATTTTTATTATTTTATTATTTCAATTCTACATGACTTTACCAAAAGAACCAAGAAGATTTTACCACTCCTGTTCTGAACATAACACAAATGACAAAATACTGCGCATAAATCACAGCGAGACTTGCCGCGTGCCGTTTCACGCGACAAAAAAATTAACGACCTCCAAAGTGCTCGCATTTAATTTGACAAACCGGTTTGCACCCCTGGAAATAATCATAGTAACTACTACTCTATAAGATTGCCCATCAATCCGTCGAGCGCTCGTTAAACATTCTGGGGTGTTGTTAAAGACTTGGGAACTTAGACAATCGAAGCCGGGCAACGTTCGGGTATGTGCAATGATCTGTAAGGATTTTATTTTTTACCAACCGAAAAAAACCTCAACTTTAAACGCTGGTAAATCAGCAAAATCCATCACATGGGATATTGATCTGCCTGGCGGACTGCATATACTGTATTGAAAAGAGAGTGGTGTCAAGGTAACCACGCCATGGCATGTATAATTGATGGGGCCCTTTGATCCGGTAGATTAATGTCAGCCTTCCCCACATCCTCAAACACGGCTTCTGTTACATCGGGCTCGCTGGTTAGAAAGGTATCAACAGCCAAGAGTCGAGACGAGAAGGAAATAATAAATAAATAGACCTAAACATTCCTTGATGTGCTGTGTCGTTCCCTGGTGATTAAAAACCCTTATCTACATTTTATGGGTACGTTGTCGTAAGATTGCTTCCACGACGTCTTGAACATTGTTTTTTTTGGGGGTGGGTAGTTTATTTGAGATGAGGTGCTGGGAGTTGTTTTGTTGATTTTCTTGCTTCGCTGTCATCAGATTACCAGGCCTAAGAAGCAGAATGTTTGTCGGTCCGTTATCAGCAAACGCAATTTCACGGTCAATCATGCACCGTAAAAAAAAGTTTACAGCTTTCCCTATGATAGGTGTAAACTATCGTGATCCTAATAAAGATTATTCCATGTTTTTTTTAGTTTTCTGTATTTTTTGGACAATTGCATAACAGTTGCACACACTGACACCACAATACGAGGTGATGGATCCATCCAGCAGAGTGATGCATCATCTTCCTTTCATTAGAGACATCCCGTGGAAGAAGACACCACAGAGCTACTTCTGAGAGCCTTTCATATGACACATTGCAAAGAAAATTCCTCACTAAGGGGGACATATTCTTGGTTCTTTCGGAAAAGTCACGTAGAAGGGAGATAATAAAATAATATAAATATAAAACAATTAAAATTCTCACGACGTTTCGACTGCAACACAAGCGATCATCATCAGGTGTGACATTTTCTTGCTGTGTATTTCACACCTGTGATGATTGCTTGTGTTGCAGTAGAAACGTCGTGAGAATTTTTTTTGTTTTATATTATATATTGTATTATCTCCCTTCTACGTGACTTTACCGAAAGAACCAAGAATATGAATCCCTGCAGTCACGAAAGCTTTAAATCGAAATTTAAGGGGGTCACTTCACTCTTTCCACATGGCAGTAAAACTGATATTCATAATTTCTCGGAAAGCTGTGATTTTGACAAAGTAACTTAAACTCAACACAAATGTTTGCTTGTATGCAGTTAGTGGCAACCGGGCTGAAACCATGAACTCACTCACACTTGAGAAACCCGCTTTAATCTAAACGAAATCAAACTATTTTATTTACCAGGTGAAGCCCAGTTAGCTATTCACACTTTTTTTCAGAAGCGACTTGGCCACAAATGATAACTCAACGAAGTGGCTTATCACGTGGAAATGTATAGCCCAAATATTGAAAAACGAATGTTGATTCTAAATGTGGAGGGGAAATCTCGAGGACCTGGAGAAAATTCCACACGACCACGGGGAGAACCTGCAAACTCCAAATATACAGCAGGCGTCAGGGTTGTGACCCAACACACGGCCTCTTGTATACCAGGCGAGGGAGAAAACACCTC